AAAATGCATCTCTGGGTTATTTGTGGGGCCTGCCTGGTGTTTTTACATGAGCAGAATGTGTCCTTTTATTTAAAATGCATCTCTGGGTTATTTGTGGGGCATAGTAATTCATTCATTCCCACCCCCCAAAAAAAATATAGTCTGCCCCCCCACAAGGTCTGAGGGACGGTGGATCGGCCCCCTGCTGAAAAAGTCTGCTGACCCCTGAATGGACTGTATCAAAGCTTATATTGAGCTCCAGGGACACTTAAACTTTGCGTGATACTCAACTAAGTTTTATCCAGAGCAGACCCATTGAAATTAATGAACGTGACTAACTTAGGCCAATGAATTTCAGTAAGTCTACTCTGGGTTATACTTCGTTGACTACCACCCTTTATTTGCCAAGTTATCTGATTGTTTCAAACTTTCGTGCAAATAAGGAGCTAGCAACTAGTAAGCAACTTCAGCACCATCAGACTTCAATAGATTTATGCCCAGGGTGATTGTATCCTTGAAAACAAATGCTGAGCAAGTAGCAACCAACAGAAAAAAGTAGAAGATATATGACATATAAAACAAATTGTATCAAGTTCAGACTTGAGGGGGTATTGAGTTCTGCTGGCAAACATATAAATATGTTGTCCAAGATCCTCCAACATTTGGTCTACTAAATAAAATACTGTAACAGCAAACCAAATACAAGAGCAACGGTTTTAAAGCAAAAAAAAAGTAAAAAAGTTATTTTTTAATATAAAAATGAAATTGCACTTTATTCAGATTATGACCAGTGTCTCATGTTATTGTATCCACTATATATTTAAAGTGGCTTGTCCTTTGTGTGTTTGTTCTCTATGGGCATAGCTGTCTCTCAAAATACCATCACCAAACTTAGAGCAAGGGTTCCTCATGGGAGGGCAGCACTTTTGGCTGTTATGTTTAGATGCCAGATGCTGTTTCCATAGAAACATAGAATTGTAGATTTGGAAGGGACCCTGAGGACCATCTAGTCCACCCCCACAATGCAGGCTTTTTTTTTTTGCTCAAGTTGGGGCTCAAACACATGACCCCAAGATTAAGAGTCTTGTGCTCTACTGACAAGATGACCTTGCCACCAAACTTGGCATGAGGGCTTCCAAGGTTGGGGGTGATCTTCATTGACATTTGTATGCCGGGTGCCATTTTGAATCAAGGTGGCAGACCAAAGCATAACTTTGGTGTGACTTCACCCCTTTTTGTATGTGACAGGTCTGAACTCACAAATAACGATGTCTAAAAAAACCAGCAAAAGGTTTGGGTTTCTAAAAATTCCAGGGCAGCACCAGACACTCTCTGCTAGTAATAGATACAAATAAAGTGGGGTATCCAATATACTTCTTCCATTAGTGCTGAGATATATGTTGGCAAGAAACAGGTTTTTTTTGTCTAACCTTTTATTTCAAGAGTGCCTTTTATTATCCACTTCCATGATTGTGGCCCTAAATATATTTCCAAAGCTGTCAGTTGTCATAGTGCATTCCACTTGGTAGATTCCTCCTTAATTCGCATTTACTTCTCCTTTCCTTCTTGGTGGTTAGGAGTTTGTTTGCTTTTCTGGTCAGGATATAGTCTTACTTCACCCAGTTGCCTAAGCCAAACTGCTCACATCCATAACCAATAAAGTTGTGGCCTTATTTATCCCATTAACCCAATATACTTGTGTTTGTGTATTTATTTCAGAGGGTATTGCAGGCCTCGCCAGGCAAAGGAAGCACTTAACTACCTGATACACTGAACTGATAGATGACCTTCAGTGCTGTCTGCTAGATCAATAGATGTTATCCTTTGCAATGAAACTGCAAGATAACAGCTACGCCTTCCATGGGCATTTGAACTATATACCGTACTTGTTAATGAAATGGCTGGAGAAGTGGCACATTTCCCACCTCTAACATGCAGCTGGCTAGGTGTGAGACAGATAAGTGAATTGCTAATTACTGGCTGCATTTTCTAAACATCCTTTTAAAATATTCAAATGGATAGAAGCTAGGTCCTCTTGGAAGTCTATAGGATTGGCTGGCAATTAAACTGCCTTTCCATTCTTTCATTAAAATAAATTACTTTACTATTAGATCATCTAATGAGTCCAAGGCAGAGTGGAAATTTAACCCTAGGTCAGTTTCAGAACTTCCTGAGCGAAATTGGTTTTATGTATGCTATCCTGAAATATAAGAGAAAAAACAGTAAGTCTTGTGGCACTTTAAAGGCTAAAAAATTAGCTTTCATGGAATACACATAACACCATCAGATGAATAAAGGGTTAGTTCAAGTTGTAAGTCTGTCTGTCTGTCTGTCTGTCTGTCTCTCTCTCTCTCTCTGTGTACATAAATACACAGGGCAGGGAAGAGATTGTAAACATTTCATTCTGACCTCACTGTTTAAATTCCCCTTCATCAAAATCTGGCTGCATTCACATTACAGTTTATTCCATTTTCACATTTCCCTAACTGTTGACTTCCACATTATATTTGAGCTTCCACATGATGCAAACACCACTTCCAGAACTATAGTGGAATATAGCACAAGTTTGTTGCTCATTTCCATGTTATCTGAAAGTAGCTTTTTTCTCTGGAAGGAAATAATGTGGAAAAGATCACTAAGCGTGCACTATATCCCACTGTAGTTCCAAAAATGGCTTTTACATCACATGGATGCTCAGATATAATGCAGGATTTAAACAGTTGGGGAAGTGGTGAAAATGTAATAAACTGCCCTGTGAATGCAGCCTATGTCTATGTCTATTATATATACCTGTAACTTAGCATAACATTTCATGAATCTGATGAAGTGGATAGTAGTCTACAAAATCTTAAGCCAAGAAATGTGTCAGTCTTTAAGGTGTAGAAGTCCTTTCGATCTTTTGACTGTAGCAAACAAACATAGCTACCCATCTGAAATCTAGGACCGTGACCCCCAAATTTCTTAGTACTGTGGACCCCCCATTTTTCAAAAGCCCAAGCCATGGACTCCCTTACTTTTGAAATTTTTGATATTTCTATGGTAGTTTTTGTTATGTGGTTGGTGCCATGGACCCCCTGGGTGGGTTATGTGGACCCACTGATCTAGGAGATTCGGTTCCCAGAAAGGTGTTTAGGATACAATAACATCTGGAAGACATCCTTGTTTATACATACACATTCTCCTTTTAATAATGCTTTCCATCAATTTACATGGAGCAGATGTTAACTAATCTATAGGAGCAGGGCTGGATTGGGAATCATGTTTGCGTAGCCTTTCCTCCTCTCATAGTTTCCCTAACCAAATAGTTGCAGCCTAGCCCAGAGTGAGCCAAGTTTGATTTGGAAATTAGGGTGGGAAGAAAGTGATCCCTTGCCCCAGCACAGATCTACTGTGTAACATGTAGTTTTGCACTGATGAAGAACCAAAGAACCATAACCATTCCAGTTTTCTGACCTTCTCTCAGAAGGGTCCAAAGACCTTTCTTCTCTGCTTCTGGCAAGAGCTGGGTATATTTCTGTGCAAAGAAGGCCTTTCATTTCACCACATCAACTCTTCTTCTGCTGCTACAACAGCATATTCCGCAGTCACCTATGGCAAACTTGGCCATTCCTACTGTCCATTTTATGAAATATCAAAAAGCTATTTTATATTATTAAATGTAGCAATTCTTTCTTTTTGTGTGTGTCCTTGAACTCTGATCATGCTTCTTTGTTGACTAGATGGAGGACAGTGAGGTGTGTGTGGAAACTAGCCTACTGTAAGCAGGAAAAAAATAATTTATTGCCTTGGCCACTTCTGCTCAGCCATAGCACTTTGGGCACGTGGCTCCTGAAATGTTTCTCCAGAGATATTGCCCGTCAGGTGAAAAGGGCTTTCCACCATGGCTGCAGTGTGGTAGATTAGGCAGGGATTGAATGACTAGCCCAGGCCCAAGGTTGCCCAGTGAGTTCCTGGCTGAGTGGGGATTCAAACCTTGGTCTCTTGCAGGTCCCAGTCTGACACTTTTAATGGCTGCACCACACTGGCTACGTATTAGAACACTTCAGCACCCCAATTCCGTGCTGGTCTTTTCCTCCATGGCAGATGTAAGCTGGGGCAACTAATCCAGCCACCCCAGAAACCAGAGGAGGAAGGGGTCACCCTCCATTGTCCCCAGGTGGAGGGCTATGGGGCAGGGTACTGAGGACCAGGAGCACATGTTAGTGGGGGACAGCAGGCCAGCTGCTGCCCTAGACTTATCACAGTGGCCCACCAGACACCTGTGGGAAACCAGCAAGCAGGATTTGAGCACCGGAGGACTCTCCCCTCCTGTGGTTCCCAGACAGCACAGCCATCCTAGATAGTGGTCATCCATAGCCCTCTCCTCCTCCATGAATTTACCTAATCCTCATTTAAGGCCAACCCAGCTTGATTGCCATGACAACCTCCTGTCGCAGGGAGTTCTGCATGCAGAAGGAATTGTGTCTTCTGCCCAAGCTGCTTCTGGGGGCATAGGAAACTGCCTTATACTTAAGATGATTGGTTCATCTACCTCAGTATCATCTACTCTACACAATAGTGGCTCTCCAGAATTTCACAGGATTCTACCCCAGCCCTACTTGGGAGATGCCTGGGATTGAACCCGGGACCTTTGACATGCAAAGCAGATGCTCTACCACTGAGCTATGGCCCTTCCCCATCCTTCATAAAAAGCAGCTGGTAGGGGCAGCAGGGGCACTAATGGCACCAGCTAGTTATGGACCAAGAGGTGTGCCTTGCCATACAGCCCCCAACTCATTTAATAACTTGGCCACACTGCTTCAGCTATGCAATAGGTGAATGAAGTTGTAATCAACATGGGGTAGTTTTGCTCCAGTCACTTACAATGCGATCCTAGACATGTCTACTCGGAAGTAAGTCCCACTGAGTTCAGTGAGACATACCCCCCAGGCAAGTGTGTTCACAATCGCAGCCATAGTCAGGGGTTCTGTGCACGAAGAAGAAAAATAACTCAAGTTTGCTTTTCCTTTCCTTTTTTTTTTAATAGTTAAATGACACCCCTACCTTTTAAACACAAGGAAACCAGACAGCTGTTTAGAGTAGTGGATCATCATAGCATTTATTGAGCCTGCAATAAATCAGAGGAGAGATGCTATGCTCTCAGCCACAGCAGCTATTAACGTGCTGTGTGTGACACAGTGTTCGGAATGCAGTTGACCCACATAGATATACTTTTTAAAAACACTCACACAAACATCTTAATAGAAAAAGATTACAGCTGTTATGGTCAGGGTTATATTTTGCTGAATCTGTTGAATTTGTAAATGGGACATAGCAATACTGGCACATTCCTCTGACCAACATACTTTTTTTCTGACCCTAACCCCCATGTTTAAATGATAGCCAATATGGTGTCTTACATGCTGGATTACAACTCACATCTGCCTAGGCAATGGTCAGGGATGATGGGATTTGTAGTCCAAGAGCACCAGATTGGCTACCACAGGCATATCTCAAAGGAAAATGGATGAGCTACTGGGTAAGCAATATTAGCAATGGATGGCTATGGGGAAAGAGCTGTGACCATGTAATGCAGACTTCCCCAACCTGTTGCCCTCCTGATGTTTTGGACCACAACTCCCATCAGCTGAAGCAAGCATGGCCAATGTTAAGGGATGCTGGGAGTTGAAGTTTGAAACATCTGGTGGGCATCCAAGGCTGGGGAAGGCCAGTACAGTGAGCGCTTCTGAACTGTTAGGAGATCCCCTTGAAAATAAAAAGTTATCTTCAGCAAAAAGAAGAGGAAGCTGCAGTGCCATCTTTAGTAATACAGTGGTACCTCGAGATACAAATGCTTCAGGTTACAAACTCTGCTAACCTGGAAGAGTTACCTCGAGTTGAGAACTTTGCCTGAGGATGAGAATGGAAATTGTGTGCCGACGGCGCAGCAGCAGCAAGAGGCTGCATTAGAGAAAGCACGCCTCTAGTTCAGAACAGTTTCAGGTTAAGAGCAGACCTAAAGAATGAATTAAGTTCATAACTAGAGGTACCACTGCAATGCTCTCTCCCCTGGCAACTTTGGGAAATCTTCCATGTGTTGCAGGCGGCACATCTTCCCAAAATATGTATCAGACAGGATCCGTTTGAGGGGGGCATCTCATCTAAACCCTTCATCTCTATCAGAATGGGGCGGGGTATCAAGTCACATACGCACACACACAAAAGAAAAAAACCAGAAAGAGGTAAAGAGTAGCAGTGTCATCCATAAAGGCATTAGCACATAAGAAAAGGTCCTTTGCCCAGCGATCTAGGGATTTCATCACATTTCATTTAACAGAATCCTTTTAAGTCTCAATCCCCTCCTTTGTTTTGCAAACAGAGGCAGCTGCCAAAACAGATGCTCCCTCTCACTTCAAACCATGGTCATCACTTTCAGAGAGGCCGGTTGAAATCTCCTAATCTTCTTCTTGAGGGCCTTTGAAGCTTTGATGCGACAGAGTTTGGGCATTGGTGGAAGAGACTTGGACGAAGTCGGAACAGCTGCTGGCTGCCTGGGAGAAGAATCTGGCCAGACCAGTTCATGCTCGTCGTAGTCAAGAGTCAGGCTGCTGCCATTGCTGCTGCCCTCTGAATCACTTTCGCTGGACTCGCTGTCCCCAAAGCGGTTGGCTGTATAGTCACTGACTTCCCCTTCACTGGTCTCCGCAATGGTGGAGTGGAAAAGGGAGGCACACTCTGCAGAGTATTCAGAGTGATCGGACTCACTTCTGGCATATGCACCAGGGCGAAAGGGGTGGCGGTTCTTGGAACGGGCCCTCATTGTGACAGAGCGGGTAATCCCCGCTCTCCGCGCCGACTGCCTTGGTGGCCCCAAGGCAAAGCCGCTTGAAAGGCTGGCCACTTGGGTTTTCGTCGAGATTTCCACCGTAGACTGCCACTTACGCTGCTTTTTCTTGTTGGTGGTGTCTATGTAGGCCGCTTCGAGAGAATACAGGGCGTTGGCCTGGTAGAGTTCAGGCCCAGAGGGTACTTGAGGGAGTCTGAACGGCACAGGGTACAGGCTGGACTCCGAACAAGACCTCCCTGTAGCTTCCCCAGCAAAAGTAGGCCTCCTCATGAGGTTCCTTCCTCTCAGCTGCCTCTGAGGCAGACTCCACTCAACGGGCAGCCTGGCAGCAACATGGTGGAGTCCCCTTGGCTTCTCCACAAAGAAAGCCTGCTTCCCAGGCCTCGGCACCTTCTCGCTGCTTCTCCTCTTCACCTTCACAGGCTTCGTTTTAGAGTTGGCAAACCTGACTCTGACTTGGTGGGATTCTGCGGGGACAAACTTGGCATGAACAAAGCCACCCTGAGGCACCAGGTCATGGCCTCCTGCCTTGACAGGTTTCTTGTGAGATTTCTTGGTTGGGGCGACATTGGTGTTTGCGGGGCTCAGGCTAGAATCCTCTGTTCCGAGCTGGGAGCTGGAAGAGCTGCGTTCCAGGCTGCTTTCTCCGGCTTCAGTCAGAGGAGAATCCCTTGCTGACGAACTGGCAGAGTAGCAGCCATTCGCAGCCAGCGGAGACTCTGCATGGGCCGGGGCAGCTGCCTGCTCAACATTTGCACTGTGCCGAGTCCCCTGCTGTTTGGCACATTCCCCTTCAGGCATTCCCCTCCGCAGCTTCCCCTCCGCTTTGTTACCATGCAGCGAGCTCCCTTGTTTTTCCATCTGGCTGCCACTGCTGTTAATTTTCACTCCGCCAGGGCTGGGGATTATAATGAGCCTCTGGAGCATTGTGAATGGCTGGCTCTTTGTTGGACACCTCTCACCGGCGTCTGCCTGATTGTTTCCTCTCGAGCGTGTCAGCTGGAGCAGTTTGTTGATGTAACCTCCTGGCCTGGACTCTGCAACGGGCAGTGTCCTAATCAAACTGGGCCCAACAGCGTGAGGGGCAACTTTGTTAGGCAAGGGGTGAGCCTCTTTTTCTGACGGGGGCCCAGCCAGGGAAAAAAGTGGACTTTGTAAAGCCACAGCGTGAAGAGGACTAGGGTAAGGATACACTTCGTTCCCGCTTTTGGAGACCAAGTCACTCTGGTATTTGGGGTCCACACTGAAGAACTGGATTTCCCCTCCGGGGGAAAGCAGAGGAAAGGATTTGGGGTCAGTTACTTTAGGATATCCTGCATCTGCCAGGGCGAGTCTTTCAAGGTCACCTGGTAAGAGGACAGAATTATAAAAAGGTAGTCAACAACGTAAAAATGAAGGTCTGTCTCAAGACACCAAAGACTAAATTTTTCTCGTTTCTCATTTTCTCATTTTTCTCTGGAGTATTTTTACTGGGCAATGAGAGGAGCTCTCAAAATCTTATTGCACCCAAACTTGGCAGTGCTGAACTTTATTTCGCTTCTTGAACACTTCCTTTGCTATAAAGCTGATTCCTGAGTCCTTAATGAAACATCTAAATAGGGCCTCAGGCACCCCACTGGTAGAAAGATACACATGCCCAAGAGCTCATTACATCTTACACCCACCATTATGGTCCTCACCAATAAGTTCTTTCAGAAAAAAATGAAACACAATATTAGACTTCCATCTTTCTTTCTTTTTTACTCTCTGTATGTGTGTACACGTGTACGCACACACCAGAAAATGAGTTTTCATTTTTCTACAGGAATGATTAAGATGGGTTAAAAGAATTTAGGGATGGTTTCACTCATGCTTTACATTACTTGTCCTATTAACTCTTGATGCCTCCCATATAAATGTGTGATGCAACTGAACTGGAAAGCACCATCATGCCTGAGGAGATGCAAGGTGATATGAAAGCTTTAATGGGATGTTTGTGTAGTCACCTGTGGAAACAGGCCTTGGCCTGGACCTGGTAGGAGTCCCTGAAATATCAGGGCAAGCTTTGATTCGGCATTCATCACCGATGTAGGCTCCCTGCTGTTGGAACTGGTTGTGTACCGTGGTTTCATCCGCAGATTTGGGGCGGTAATCGAAGATGCTGAGACGGGTCTTGGGGTGCTGGGAACTTGGCAAGAGGCTGGCATGAGAAGAAGAGATGGATTCACTGAAGACTGATGTACAGGAATTGGACAGGGAGCAGGAGCCGCCATCACTCAGATCATAAAAGCCTGTGAGGAGATAAAGAGGACATTTTCCGGATTACAGAGAACACATGTACAGCATGACCCTGAACCCAAGCGAAGCACTCCCATGTTTTTCTTTTTACAGAAGGATCAGTCTTCTGTGGAAAATCTAGAGTGTTGTTTAAATAATAACTACATAGATATCCTTCAACAGTCAATTCTCACATTACCTGAGCTGGGTCTGCTGTCACTGTCAAGATACTCAATGGAGGTCTTGCCAACATCCAACTTCAGTTCACTAATTTGTTGGTCCAGCTGATCCAGGTGGCCTTTCAACCCGACATCTTGCCTCCTCAGACGTGACTGTTAGCAATGGGAGAGTGAAAACGAGACACTTTCAGAAAAGTTCTAAGGGACCAGCCCAAATTGTGTCAGGGTTAAGCCCGCCTTCAGAGGAACAATACACACAGAATGGCCACATGGAAGATCTCATACCCCAAACAAACTAGACACACTAGAGCAGTGTTTCCGAAACTTGGGTCTCCCACTGTTTTTGGACTACAACTCCCATCATCCCTAGCTAGCAGGACCAATGGTCATAGATTAAGGGAACTGTAGTCCAGAAACAGCTGGGGACCCAAGTTTTGGAAGCACTACACTAGAGCAAGGAAAGCCAATGTGGTGCTTTCCACATGCTGTTGGACAGCAACTCCCAACAACCCAGGCTAATGATCAGGGATGATGGGAGCTGTAGTTCATCAACATCTGGTGAGTAGAACATTGGCTACACATGCACTAGAGTAAGCACTGCAAAGGTAATCATACTAGAATGAAATGATTAGAACACTTGTGAATGGAGCGAAAACCAACTTGGTTGACAGAACTGCAGATATGGAAGCAAATTGTATTTTATATATTTATGTAAATGTATACTATTTAAAGTCATATTCCATCATATTGCAAAGATTTGGGGGTAAGTAATATTTTAAAACTGGTAGAAACAAAAGCATTATTTTAAAAAATACAACAGTCCATTAAAACAGCTTATTAGGCTTCACTTCTACATACACTTTCCTGAGAATAAGTCTCACTGAACTCGAAGAGACTTTCTAAAAGATCACTTTGAAAACACTGGTCTGGTGTGAGCTCCCAGAACACTCTAAGAGCAGCTTCTACATGTGCACAGGGGGCTTCTGAATTCCAAATCAGATTTTATGTGACTTCCACCAAAAATGGATTAGTCCCACCATTCCTGCTCTCCACCGTATGACATAATGTTATAAGTCGAACTACTTACCGTATTTGTTTTATTTAGTAATTAACTGTGTACACTTTCCTTCACCTGAAGAACCCAGGGAAGAACCCAGGGACCCCTGACCATTAGGTCCAGTCATGACCGATTCTGGGGTTGCGGTGCTCATCTCGCTTTACTGGCCGGGGGAGCCGGTGTACAGCTTCCGGGTCATGTGGCCAGCATGACTAAGCCACTTCTGGCGAACCAGAGCAGCGCACGGAAACGCCGTTTACCTTCCCACCAGAGTGGTACCTATTTATCTACCTGCATTTGACGTGCTTTCATACCACTAGGTTGGCAGGAGCAGAGACCGAGCAATGGGAGCTCACCCCATCGTGGGGATTCGAACCGCCGACCTTCTGATCAGCAAGTCCTAGGCTCTGTGGTTTAACCCACAACGCCACCCGTGTCCCTAGTTCACAATAGAAAAATACAAAATGAGAGCACAAAATATATACCAAAAAATAACAAACCAATAAACTCCCTTCCTACAAACACACCTAAAAGTTTATAGATTGTTGAACTAGCCAAAGGTCTGGTTATAGAGAAGCCTGGCACCTAAAGATATGCAGTGTGGAAGGTGCCAGGTGAGCCTCCCTGGGGAGAAAGTATCATGCAAAATCCACAGATGCCTACGGGAAGCATCCAGTTTAATCCCCAGTAGGGATGGGAAAGACTCCCTGGCTGAAACCCAGGAGAGCTGTTGTCAATCAGTGCAGACAATACTGAGCTAGAGGGACCATTGGTCTGACTCAGTATATGGCAGCTTCCTATGTTCCTGTGAAGCATCCCATCCCATGTTACGTCTGGAGGGGCCCCTATCTAGCCACTCCAGGCAACAACCTTTGGGGCAGCATAAAAGGCTGGGGGTTTGAAAGGGGAAGAGCAAAGTTTGGCTGCATTCTTAACAACTATTTTGGATCTCAGCTTAGGCCGGGGAGAGTGAGCCCAAAGCACAGTATGTTCAAAAACCAGCAAGCTATTATTTGCTTCACTAAACATTCTGTTAATTTCAGACCCATGGATTAACTTGTCTTTTCCTCATCTGAACACCTCGGAGCCCTTTTAATTCCCAGCAAAATGCAACGGGGCAAATTTCAGTGACTTCAAAAGAGGCATAGAGCAGGCTCATAAAGCCAATGGGCCAAAATGGCATTACGTCCAGTTACACTGACTTAATAAATTTCTAGATAAAAGACTTTGTAACACAAAATGACACTGTCCACGTATTGACTTCTTGAAAAACAAATATGTTTTCAAGCGTCTTTTGACGCCCAAAGTACATTCAAACATGGACACATTCTTGATTTACAGTTCAGGAATAGAATTGTTAAAAGCGTTGCCATTTCAGTAGCACGGTGCTATCCCAAAGAGCCTGCTGTGCTCAGATCCTGCTTGTGAGCCTTCCACAGGCATCTGGTTAGCCACTGTGAGAACAGGATGCTGGACTAGATGGGTCACTGGCTTGATCCAGCAGGCTTGTCTTATATTTCTGTTCTTATGACTAAGACCTTGTGTGTGTGTTGGTGGAGACAGCTAAATTAAAGGCCATGGGCCCCATCTTCCCTCAAGTGTTTTCTCATGAAGCCCAGCAATTTGGCTGTTGTAGCAGCAATTAAAAAATAACAAATTACTGAGGTGGTGCTTATAAGAAAGGCTGCAATCTCTTTGCCTAGGTCCTAGGCCAGGCATGGCCACAGATGTTTTGGGACAATTCCCATCATCCCTGACCACTGATCCTGTTAGCTGGGGATGATGGGAGTTGTAGTCCCAAAATATCTGGAGGGCCAAGTTTGGCCATGCCTGCCCTAGACCATCCACCTGTGCAACAGATGCAGATCTCCCCCTCCCCATACAAACAAGCTGATGAAAAGGAGGAGTGATGTGAAGCCCCATCATTGTGCTGGTTGGTGTGAGCCCAGACCAGAAGGCCTGATGGCGGAGTCAGTATGGACGAGGATCTCGGAGGAGAGTCCAGTGCAAGCAGCCCAACTTCACATGGTGGTAGCATCTGTACAGAGCTTGAGATCCTATCCCTCAGGGAGAGGCCCTGTTGGTTTGGCCATCTGTCCCAAACCACAAGAAGCAAAGAGGACTTTGCCACACATCTGGTGGACTTCAATCTTAGTTTTACCAATATAAATATGAAGTTATGCTATACTTCTCTCAGCACCCATAGACAGTTGTACATGAGGCACAGCTTCCCAAAGTGTCCTTACTACAAAGTATTGTGTCCACTACAAAACTTGTTCCAAAAATGTTCGGATTCATTAAATTTCAAACATGGGACAGTTATCATTCACATTTGAAATAGAAAGATGCCAATTTAATACTTCTGCATTACCTTTCTGAATTTTCTGCATGGAGGGTGGTGGAGGAAACACTATGCTTCCCTTAGCCTCACCCGTTCAGGAAATCAGAGTTTTGTTTTCATGGCTGGAATTAATTGCTTAATGATTAATGTTTTGCCAGCCAATCCCTCCCTTTGTGGTTTCTGATTAATGGCAGAGAGGCCACAAAGCGTTCAACAAGGCTCTCAGGTATTCAAAGATAATTTATTGCACCTCCAGGATCTGTTTGTAATTTTACAGCACTTTAACCAACAGAAAATGATTTATATTTGCCTGGTTAACCCTTTCCTCTTTCCCCATTGTCTCCTACTATGGGGAGTGAGGTGGGTCTCATGTTGCTGGGAAACAACGCTTCCCATTAACTCCCAACTGCTAAAGACCAAAGTTTGATCCTGGAGTCTGCTAGCTCCTAGTGGAATTTTGCTAAGGAGAAATTTGTGCAAATCATATTAGCTTACACTTAAGCAGTAAAAGCGCAAAATCTGTGGGACTCTTATGCAACACGTAGGCCAATATCAGAGGAACTGATCAAATATTTTGGAAATCCCATAAGGTGGGCATGTTCAACTGGTTGATTGCGATCTACCGGTTGATCGTGGGCATGCCTGCTCGATCTTGCTTGATTACGTGATCCAGATTGTTCACCCAATGATGATGATGATGATAAAAGCTCAACAACTTTGGCTTCCCAGAAAAGGCCCAACAACTTTGGTGAAGGCTCCCCCCCAAAAGTCCAACAACTTTGGTCAATCCAAAGGGTAGACCACTGCCAGTTTTTTTTGGGGGGGGGGGGAGTAGATCAATGTCTCTTGGGAGTTGGACATGCCTGCCATAGGGGAATCACCACAGATCGATGGGAGGAATTCATCGTAGCACTATGGCAATTGTTCCATCAGCACAAGCTAGACTAATGTCTTGCAGTGAGAAGGGGAAAGTGCCCTTTGCTTTGAAGGAGACAGTGATGCATCTTTCTTTAGAAGATATCCCTGGACACAGAAGTGTTGAACAACCGGTTAAATATTTGGGGGGTGGGCAGGCAGGGTAACGACTAGACCATGTGAAAAATGAACATAATATTTTAGCTGCAGTTCATTCATTTTCAGCTTTGTATTCTTTATATATGTTATGTTGCTGGACCATAAGGAAGCCTGATCGCCGGAAAATTGATGCTTTTGAATTATGGTGCTGGAGGAGACTCTTGAGAGTCCCATGAACTGCAAGAAGATCAAACCTATCCATTCTTAAGGAAATCAACCCTGAGTGCTCACTGGAAGGGCAGATCCTGAAGCTGAGGTGCCAATACTTTGGCCACCTCATGAGAAGAGAAGACTCCCTGGAAAAGACCCTGATGTTGGGAAAGATTGAGGGCACAAAGGCTGGGACTAGCCGCCTGAAAAACAGTTTCTACGCTAATGCAATTCTGGTTCTAAATGCAGCATAAGGGGTTTCTGTACTATAGTGTGTTTTAAAATGGGGTTTTAGAGTTTTTAGGGGTTTTTGAATGTTTTATGTAGTTTTGTAGTAGTTTTATGTAGTTTTTATGTAGTTTTATGTAGTTTTGTGGTAGTTTTCAATTTCATTGTTCCGCAAGGGACAATGACAATAAAGATATCGTATCGTATCGTATCGTACAAGGAGAAGGGGACGACAGAGGATGAGATGGTTGGACAGTGTTCTTGAAGCTACCAACATGAGTTTGACCAAACTGCGGGAGGCAGTGGAAGACAGGAGTGCCTGACATGCTCTGGTCCATGGGGTCAGGAAGAGTCGGACATGACAACAAGAATTCTTGTTATGAAAAAGTGCACCTAGACATTCTGTTGTTGCATGCATAACCTAGGTTTATGGTGCCGTTTAAGCTCCTAGCTTTCATATCTCAGTTTCTAACACTGGGGTTATCATTTCACTCCAGCATCATACCTGGACATGGAAGTGAAAATGACTTGGTTTCCCTGACCTCAGACACATTGATGACCTCTGCCAAGAGATAGGCAGGAGAAGTGTGACTCTGTTGATCCACCTCTACCTCACAGCAGCAGCTTATGATACCATTAGTCATGTTATCCTTCTGCATCAGCTCCATGGGTCAAGCATGCGTTGGGGATGGATTCCTGCAAGGTCAATTCCCATGGTGCTTAACAGTAGCCCTCCATTGTCACCTGCTGGGATCTGCCCTGCCCTGCAGTAGGAGTGGAAACACAGCAGCCCATGGGACTCCATTTTGTCACACCTATTATATTGAACATCTATATTAACCTGCTGGGAGTTGTCACCGGGGCATTTGGAGTGAGGTGTAATCAGTATACTGATGATACCAGAGATAAAATCTTATGGCATGACTATGTTTTGCAGTTTGGGGCGGAGGATGAAGTGATTGGTCCTAGAATGCTTTGCAAGAGAGCAAAGAGAAAAAAGATTAAGACTATCTCCATCATGCCATTGAGGAAGCAGATGAGTGATGTGTAGCAAGACCCTGTGTGCAGTTGGCAGCTGTCATCAGGGGATTTGTAGTGGGGTGTCATCAGTACACTGATTACTCCAGCTTTAGCTCTGCTTTCCATCTGAATCAGCAGAGGCCACTCAGACTCTTGACAGATACTTGGAGGCAGCAATGGGCTGGAATCGGATGAGGGCCAATAAACCGAAACAGAACCCATAAAAAGATGGGAGGCATTGCATGCATTAAGTTTTCAAGTCTGGGAGGTGAGGAGATGGCCTGACTTGGACAAGGTCACACTCCCTTTGAAAGGGCAGGTCCTTAACTCAGGCTCCTTGATCCAGCTTGGTCCAGCCTAGGTGGCCTCAGTGGCAAGGAGTGCCTCTTTCCAGCTGCAGCTGATTTGCTACCTACAGCCCTTGCTGGAAAGAGAAGACTTGGTGACCACAATATACATTCTGGTAACCTTCCATCTTGGGGTAACATGCCGTATGTGGGGCTTCCCTCGAAGGTTGTTCAGAAGCTTCAACTAATGCAGAATACAGCTGCAAAATTGCTGAGAGGCACAACTGGGGAGGACAATGTAGCACCTATTTCTGAGATAACTGTGCTAGTTGCCTATGCGCTTCTGGGCCCAGTGCCTCATGTACAGCCTTGGCATTATCAGCACCATGCTCTAACCAACAGAGCTATCCAGGCTAGGGCAGAACAGGAAGTGATAAGTGATATGGAGATTGGGGATGCCTGATCTAGGGTACCCAAACTTGACCCGCCAGCTGTTTTGGGACTACAACTCCCATCATCCCTAGCTAACAGGAGCAGTGGTCAGGGATGATGGGAATTGTAGTCCCAAAACAGCTGGAAGGCCAGGTTTTTGGATGCCTGCTCTAGATCCTGTGAAGCAAGTGCCTCTGAGTTTAGTGGAACTTACTTCTGAGTAAACAAACACTCTGGTTGGGCTGAATGCACATTAGTGAAAAGATACCATTTACACATCCAGAGTTCCAGATGTTGCTAGCTATGTCAAAATTGGTTTGGATAGCCAAGAATGCAGCAGTTTCCTCCCCAAACACCACATGCTACTATTCCTATGATAAAATGACTCAACCCATTCCTTCTGACCAATGGAGAGAAAGCTCTGTCTCTCCTAAAAAAAGGGGAACACCATGGACTCTCTTTTTCCCCTGTTTTAAACCCCGGTCAAGTGTCTGCCATATCTTGATAAGCTAATCCTCTATTTTCAAGTCTTACTGGGAACAAAACACACATACAAATGAGCTCTTACAGCACAAAGCACGTATGTCAAATAGGAATGGATTGCTTTGGTCAGAGGTCACTGGGTGTTCCTATTAACCTGCTGGCCTTGAGCAAGCCATAAATGTTTTAAATCATATTCTCTTTGGGCTTCCATAAAATAAAGTGGAGTCATTAGTTAACATTATCAATGACAGGTAATCAAGTGGTTGGCAGTAGACTTGTGCTGCCATTTTGACTCTAATCAAGACATGCTTGCTGCAATGTTTCACAAGTGGGGCTTAAGCAGCCCCTGAAGGTTAAAGCCAATTTTCACTCTGAGATGCCTTCTGATAAAGCTGCCTACAGTTAGTGAATACCCTTTGTGTTTTCACACCTGATTGATAACTGATGGCCAAGTCTAACACCAATAAGGAGGAGGGGGCAGGGGAGATCAGAATTAACTCAGAGTTTACTGAAGTGTGTAATTGCCAGTACTGGAGAGATTAAAGTCTATAACATTTTGATTGCATTATTCCCCCACCCCAGAAACGAATTCCAGTCCTAATATATATTTGCTACTTCACACACACACACAAAAAGCACAGGGATTTAAAAAAAGAAGTTGATGTCACACAAATTCAATCACTTTCCTCTTTTGATCATGCCATCTATTTCAACACTGGATGTAGGAGTTGCAAAAAATTTCCCCCCTCACATGCTTGTTTTAATTTGGAGGGCAACGGATGCAAAAATAAACACTGCTAAACTATATTAGGGCTGACTGAAAAGTCACAAAGATGGAAGCAAGCTTTGGACTTATTAAGAAGAACAATGCATCAAGCTGGATATTGAGCAAAACCAAAGCAAAACAAAGTGCAAAGTGTGGGCGAAGAGAAACAGATGATCTGGGGGGGGGGGCAGGAAACCACGTGTGCACTTTGTAATAGTTTATGGTGGCATGGAGGAGGTGTTTTGCAGGCAATTAAGATTCGGCCATGTTTTGGTGCGACATGATACCTTTTTGCATGAGTAGTGAAACACATGGCAACTCTTCCAGCAGTCATTCAGACTGGTTTCTAGCAAATAAATTACAAGGTGTTTACTTGTGGCTTACCCAAAGGACCCATATGACTGCTGGAAGTTTTCTAACACAGAATTCTAACACAGAAAAGTATTTCAGACAGAATACATATACCCAAAGGCTCTCTAAAGCTCCTCCCTCCCTCCTTTAAACAGTGATGCTCGATGAGGGAGGCACTTTAGAGAGCAGCTTTGCCAAACCACTCTCTGTAGCACTTGCCAGCCTCCTTTAAACACCGCTCCACTGATATTTAATGGAAGGGGGGGTGGGGTGAGGCTTCAGAAAAATGCCTTCTCTCCTCTTTCAAACAGTGTTCCTTCCTCAGCAGCTTGCCTGGGCAGCTTGTTGTTCTGTTCTCAGGCCGTAGTTGGTGTGGCCACCTGTTGGCAGCCGTGCAAACTGCAGCATGACAACAATTTTTCTTCCAGAAATATAGCAGGGGTCAGCTTTTTCAGCAGGGGGCCGGTCCACTGTCCCTCAGACCTTGTGGCGGGCCGGACTATATTTTGAAAAAAATAATAATGAACAAATTCCTATGCCCCACAAATAACCCAGAGATGCATTTTAAATAAAAGGATGCATTCTACTCATGTAAAAACACGCTGATTCCAGGACCGTCTGCGGGCTGGATTTAGAATGCGATTGGGCCAGATCCAGCCCCCGGGCCTTAAGGTGCCTACCCATGGTACAGAGAGATATATTTGAAACCCAGCACACTGTAGTGTGGCAAGAAGTTAGTGTGCCAGAAAGCCTCTAATGTACTTTTACATTCCTATGGGAGGAAGGGTTGGATATAAATTTAATCAATTTAATAGGTAGTGCCAGTTAATGACTATTAGCCTCTTCACCAATGAATAAGGCATTCAGATTTGGAGGTCTGCAGCATGTGAAGGCCAGTTATGCAGGTGTGACTTCAGACAGGGTAGACTTGAAGGAAAAAGCCAGGAACCATACATGAGCTAGTAAACTTGAAAGTCCTCTTGTAAATGGGTGGGCTTGCTTTCATACTTCTGGTCTGACTCACTGTTGCATTTGAGTCTGGACAGAAAGCTTGCCTCAAAGCAAACTTGATTTCTGCCAGAGCTTTTTCACTGTGGAACTTTTTTTGGCGGGGGCGGCAAACCCTTCATAAGGTGCATCATATTGTTTTACTTATCTGTGTTACATTTTTATTCTGTCTTTTCCTTCCGAAGGCTTTTTTCGCCCCAGAATAAGGCTGAGAACTAAGATACTTGATCAAAATTCTCAAATGGCTGCAAGCACAGGCCTAGATTTACCACTGGGTGTTTACTTGACTGCAGTCGATTACAACTCTTCAACAAATGTACTTGTGTGATGCATAGTTTGCAACAGATTTGGCCATATCCACAATTTTTGGTGTACACTTTTGCCATACCTAGGCATAAACCTGTATCAAAATAATGTGTGAAGCAGACCAGAGAGAAAAGTTGGGTTTTGAAACTCAACACTCTGCCCCAGCCTCCACCAATCAGGCATCCATAGGGTATTTTGGATGGGAGCTATGGTTCAAAACAGCTGAGGGCACCTGGCTGCCAAAGTCTGCTCTAGCCACTATATTTCACTGAATCATCATGCTGAAGAAATTTCCTGAGCTGTTCTAGTCTTTGTTATTACAACACCGGTTGTTTGTGCTAGTTATAATCAGAACAGGTGATGGGTTTTGAAAGTCATCTCTAAGCCAACGGCCATCACCACATCTTGTGACAGTCAATTCCATGAAGTAATTACACATTGAGTGAAGAAGTTCATTTGTGCTTGTCTCTCCTGAGCTTACTGCCAACCAACTTTTGAAAGATAAAAATGATATTTATCCACTCTCTCTGCACTATTCCCCGTTAGACAGCACAGTTGACATGTGCATTGCTTAAACTGAAGGAAAAGTAAATAGCAATTGCTTTGTGTTGTTTTTGCTTCTTCCTTTGAGTAAGTTGGTCATCGTGTGCCTGGGATGCAGAATGTGTGGTCCTCTGGATGTGGTTGGACTCCAGCTCCAACATTCCCAGCCAGCATAGCCAATGGTATAGAAGGATGGGCCCTAGATCAGGTGTGGAGAACCTTAGTCCTTCCAGATGTTGCTAAACTACAACTTCTTGAGCTCCAATAAGCCTGCCCTCGGATGATGAGAACTGTAGTTTAGCAACATCTGGAGGAACAAAGGTTCCCATATATTATTCCATCCACAATCTAGGAAGTTGGTCCAGATCACTGCTAATCCCCTTCCTGCTCTTTGCAAATCATGGCTGCCTTTTTATTATTTTGTAATATTTCCAAGTGGACTGAAATATATTAAATGAACAGCATCCAATCAGCCTGTCAAATGATACTTCTAGTGGCAAAGTTTTTGCACCCCTTTTCTTCCAAAGGTAAGATGAAAGCTGCCATTCACAGGCATTGCAGATCTGCTATTTCAGTATGATGTGAATTTCTCTCTACATTTCCAGTTAATAGCAAAACAAGTTCTTGAATTTATTCAAATACCAATCTTAAGACACTCAGGAATATGCTTTATTTTTTTAAAAAAACCCAAGCCAAACCCCAAAACCAAAGGTCCCCAAGTCAATGGTATTTTATATACACAGGGTCACACACATTTATTATTTCAGCCTTGTTTAAAGAATGACATCAAAACAAAATTCCCACCCTCCAGAAATTTAGTGCACTAAACCAGAAATTTAAGTTCTTCACAGATTCCATGACATTTCAGTGAATTTATTCATTGAGACCTTGCAACTGATATGGCAAAATATTGTTTTTTAGGACTGTGCAGGATGATCTGAAATGTGTTTACTCAGAAGCAAGTTCCAATAAAATAAGTCAATAGGACTTACTTCCATGGATTGAGAGGCTGAGGCTTAAAAAACAAAATAATAAGACATCAGGTAATGGGTGGAGCAGATCAAAGGCAATTCAGCCTCCAAGTGCACTTACCCATAAGAAGTTTCTCACTGACAACAAGAGTATATAAGAGCCTAGTCAAAACATGTAGCCACTAATGGAAATGTATTATTACACGGATTTAGAGCAGCTTCAGCTGTTACATCCGAAAAAGCAAGAAAGTTTGTCAAATGTGACAATTGCCTATGGAGACTGTGTCAATACAAATGTTACAAATGTAACTGGGAAAGTGCAGCATCCGAAACACCTCTTAGATTTAAGGCAGAAGATAACATGGACTGGTTCAGGGTTGTTAATCCCGTAATTTTAAGAGATTGATTCCTTAATTAATTATTCCTTATCATACATCCCTGTTTCATAGAATGGTTATTCTTTACATCAAACGCATACATACAGACATACCCTTTCTCGGACCTTGCAACAACACAGCCCTGAATGTTGCATTTTAAAAAACCAAACTATTCATTACTATTTTACAATGTACCCAACAGTCTTTGAACCTTTTTTTATGGATCTCTTCAATTAACTTGTGCACTCTCAGTCATCACCCTTCAAACCACCATCCTCCATAGATTCTCTAGTGGAAACGAAAGATTAAATAGATAAAACCTAAATTAGGGGATCAGCTCTAAAATTGTGCAACTAGGGTGTGTGTATAGTTAGGGGGAAGGCAGATCATAATGAGGCTCTGCTCCAGGACAGATTTACTTTGCCAATGTAGGCTGTCCCTAAAAAGCCCCTAAAGCATAGTTTGCCTAAGCATGAATGAAATAATTCTGCTATCATGCAGCCAGCAAATAATAGACTTGTTGATGGCTCTATAACTGCAATGGAACCATTTAGTGAGAATAAATTCACTCACCACAGGATTTAAATAGAATAAATCTGAGACTGGTAGCCTGGCCAGAGGTACCAACCGAGTATGACCACCGGTCCAATTAATGTGGTTCATAGTTTAGTTAGTTAGAGCCTGATGCTGATAATGCCAAGGTCGTGGGTTCGATTCGCTGCATGAGCCAGCTGCATTGCAGGCGGTTGGACTATATCAGTGGATCCAAACCTTTTTTTCTTTTTTTTTTTGGCCATGCCCCTAAGCACCTCTAAAATCCTGATGCCCCCCTCCCACGACATATAATTATTCTTATTCAAAAAGTGAACTCCGATTCACGTGGAGTATGCCTAAAAGGCCATTCACTGTTCATAACTCATTCTCGAATGCCCCCCTTAAAAATCAAATCGCCCCACGTTGGGAACCACGGCATTAGATGATCCTCGAGGTCTCTTCCAACTTTTAGGATTCTAACCTAGCACGGTTTACTCTGACTGGCAGAAGCTCTCCGCAGTTCCAGGCAGGATTTGTCCCGGTCCTACCTGGAAAGAGGAGGAGGGGGGCGCGTCTGCATGCAAAGGAGGGGCCCCTGGAGGATCCCCGGCGCCTGGATCCATCAAGGGATCCCCGCTCTCCCCTGGCCCCCCGCCGCAGTTGTGGCGCAGCGGCCAGACTCCCTCGCCGGCGGGAGACCCCTTACCAGTTGCTCCTTCAGGGCGCTCAGGGTGGCTTCGAGGCGCCGCTCCTTGCTGCGCGCCTGCCTGCCGTCGGCGGTCGGCTGCTCGGCCAGCGCCCCGCTCACCAGCGCCCGCTGCTTCTCCCGCAGCACCTGCAGCTCCTGGAGGCCGGCCAGGGCGGCTTGCAGCCTCTCGCCTACCCGGCAGCGGTCCCAGCCGCCCGGCCGCTGCTGCTGTTGCGCTGGCCTCCCTAGGAGCATCTTCCGACGCCGTCCGAGCCACAGGCCACGCCGGAGCGAGCGAGGCGGAGCCCAGGCAGGCGCTAACCTCTCCCTCCGCCGACAGCCAAGCGAATGCAGCCGAGCAGGCGCTGCGGCGGCCGAGGGGGGCGCGCGCGGCCAAGCTGCAGTTCAGCGCCCTCCCCGGCGCGGGGCAGACGCAGAGCCAACGCCGAGCGAGCCGAGCCGACGGAGCAGCCAATCGCGGCTGGAGCTCATTCATTCCTCCCGCAAGCCCCGCCCCCAGGCTGGGAAGGTTCAACCCGGGGTCTAGACGACGTGTGGATCGCCGCTTTCCCCAAGCATGGGCGTGCATGCGCAATTCCCCCCCCCCATCACCACCACGTGGCCAGTGATTTCAGGCTGCGATCCTGAGTCAATGACACCTGCTAGGAAGGATGCGTTGCTGGACTCCGTGGGGGCTTCCTTCCAAGTAGGCATGCTCAGGCTTGCCGTAGGTCAGGAAAATTCCTGACGTGTCCTGGTTTTCGAGTGTAAAAATGGCCTCAGGGGTTAAAAATTGCAAGTGGCACTGTGCATCTTGGGCTTGCCGATTGGAAGGTCGGTGGTTTGAATCCCTGTGACGGCCTGAGCTCCCGTTGCTCTGTCCCATCTCCTGCCAACCTAGCAGCCCGAAAGCACGCCAGTGCAAGTAGGTAAATAGGTACTGCTGCGGCGGGAAGGTAAACGGTGTTTCCGTGCACTCTGGCTTCCATCACGATGTCCTGTTGTGCCAGAAGCGGTTTCGTCATGCTGGCCACATGACCCGGAAAGCTGTCTATGGACAAATGCCAGCTCCCTCAGCCTGAAAGCAAGATGAGCGCCACAACCCCCTAATCACATTTGATTGGACTTTACTGTCCAGGGGTCCTTTACCTTCCCTTTTTCACCTTTGCTGAATTGGCAAAATGTCAGGGAAAACCCAGGTGTATGGCAACGCGATGGAAAAAGCAGTGGAAACAGTTCCAAAAGCTTAAAACCACTATTTTTAGGGGAGGTCTCCCCGCAAAAGTCAACAATTTCCTTTTAAAAATGCTCAACAACTTTGTGGGTGTTAGAAATTTTACTTTTTGAAATATGGCGCAGCTCTCTCCTTTAAAATTGTGCGCTTTTTTAAAGAGCAGACTTTTTAAAAAAACAAACAAACAAATTAGGGTAGTTGAGTAATAGTGTGGCCTTAATCCCTCCCTCTCACACACAGACATTACTGAGCAAGGATGAAATTTGCAGGGGTGAGACAGTGCGGCATTTTTCAATCTCTAATCTAGATCTGTCTCATTAGAGACAGGGGTGGGTGGGAAGCTGTAGCTGAAAAACGGGATTTCTGAAAGTTAAAAAATGTGTAAGGTTGTCACCATACAACTGGTTCAGATGTAAATCCCAATGTCTTGATCTCCCCCACCCAGCAGAAAGACAGCAAGAAACAAGGCATTTTGGATTTTGGTGAAATCACTGAAAGTCAACTTTTGAACAAGGGATTAGAATTTAACCAAATAAATAGGTCTTCTGAATGCCACATATGTCAAGATCGGAACTTGAGCACCTAATGAGCTTGCACAGGACTGATTTCCTACACCAATGAAATCTCTTCCATATGTGATGTACCTATGTATGATTCTGTTTTATGTAGAAGCATGATTCGAGTACTTTCCCACACTGAAAAAACTTTGATAAAGGAAGTATTTGACATGAGGTGGGTCTTAGGCTGAGGAAGGATTCACACATAAATAGGAATCACTTGATTTATCAACTGAAGACTTGCAATGGAATGTGTGGATTGATTCCATTGAAAAATACAGTGGTACCTCGGGTTAAATACTTAATTCGTTCCGGAGGTCCGTACTTAACCTGAAACTGTTCTTAACCTGAAGCACCACTTTAGCTAATGGGGCCTCCCGTTGCTGCTGCACCGCCAGAGCACAAATTCTGTTCTCATCCTGAAGCAAAGTTCTTAACCTGAAGCACTATTTCTGGGTTAGTGGAGTCTATAACCTGAAGCGTATGTAATCCGAGGTACCACTGTATATGTTTAAGCTGCGGTAATAGGAAAGCTCAGTTCAGGGCCGTCATAAGCATATCCAGCGCCGTGGTGCAAAGATCCCTCCGGCACCCCCCCCCATTTCCCAGTGATCCCCCCAGAGGCTAGGGAAGGAAGCTGCACTCCCGCCAGCCATATAGTTAGTGGGGGCAGCTTCCATCGTAAGCCTCTGCGGGGATCGCTCTCCTCCCACGGAGGCTAAGGAGGCAAGCTGCACATCCGCCAGCCATACGGTTGATGGGGCACAACTGGCGGGCGTGCAGGGAAAGGGGAGGCCACCTGCGAAGCCACGCAGCTTCCCCACTCACTGGGGTGTCCCTGAGAGGCCAGTGCCCTGGTGCAACGCACCAGTAAGCCCAATAGGAAAGACGGCTGTGGCTCAGTCTGGGCAAGGATGAGGAACCTATGTCCCTCTAGACGAGAGCTGGGGAACCTTTGGTCCTCTTGATGTTGCTGAACGACAACTTCTGTCAGCCAAAGCAAGCATGGCCAATAGCCGGGGATGATGGGAATTGTAGTTCAGAACATCTGGATGATCCAAGGTTCTCCACATTTCCTCTAGATATTGCTGGTCCAGTGGCCATGTAGGTTTGGACTGATAGGAGTTGGAGTTCAATAACATCTGGAGGGTCACAGATTCCTCATCCCTGGTCTAAGGTGATGGTCTGCTCTTTTGCCCAAGCAAATGAAGCCTTGATACTGCAGTCTCTAAGTAAGCACTCTTCATAATAAGAGAGTTTACAGGCTTCTGCCACTGATTTGTTTCACCCACCCCCGAACCCCAAAGCTATGCTGAAATCATTGCAGCCAACCTTACACAGCTCTTCAGAAGATGAGCACTCCAGTGTCTCTTCCTTCTGAAATGTTGATCTGGCAGCCTTAACCAATCTCCTTTTCTTTCCCCATCTCCTGGAGGGGAGGGGGAAGGGAGGGAGTAAGTTTATTACTTTTTCACAAAAGGAACATGTCTAGGCTGAATAAATCCAGCAGAAAAAGTGATTACAGGAGGCTTCACAGCAGCTTTAATCTCAGGGAGTTTTCATTTAAAATACAGTAAAAGCCTGCAGTACGGAAGCAGTGGGGGAAAGCAGGGAGGGAGAGCCAGTGATCTATGAGCTTCATATGTTTTCAATTTGATGGTTGCAGCTTTTTAGATAAGCCAATATTTTCTGGGATGAGAATCTGGAGAGCAGCTTAAAATGAAACACTAACATAAAGCACAGCAGTAGAATCAGTGGGTCATTTTTATTTAACAACAGTTATATCCAAGAAAAAAAATCAAGTCCAAGGGAGACTATGCTTTTGCTCAAGCTGGGTTAAAGAATATAATTTTGGAGTGAACTGCAGAAACAGCCTCATCACAATACAGGGCTAGACATCATTTAAATTAACCTTCTCTCTTACCTTGTGCTTAGGAGTTGAGAACCAAAACTGAATGCTAATGATACAAATACTAAGTCCTATTTTATGCCTTCTTCTATATCTTCACAATAGCCATGTGAGGTAGGTTAGGCTGAGTGTTGGTGACTGAAACCAGTTAGGAAGTCACATGAGGATAGGTTTCTTCCCCAGAAAACATGCTTGGCCCCCTCTCCATATCTGACTCTGTGCCTATAGTTTCCTCTGCCAACTTCCAGACCTCCTGGGGACTGGATAAGGTCTGTTCCAACCTGCTGGGACTCTCCTTAGTATCATGACACTCTAGCTCATGGATAGGGAAACTAAGGCCCGGAGACCGAATCCAGTCCAATCATCTTCTAAATCCGACCCACGGACGGTCCGGGAAGCAGCATGCTTTTACATGAGTATAATGCATGCTTTTATTTAAAATGCATCTCTGGGTTATTTGTGGGGCATAGGAATTCGTTCATTCTCTCCCCCCCCCCCAAATATAGTCCTGCCCCCCCCAAGGTCTGAGGGACAGTGGACCGGCCCCCTGCTGAAAAAGTTTGCTGACCCCTGCTCTAGCTTTTCAATCTTTTCCCACCCTTGCTCCTGATCTGGCCACCCCATCTCCACAGGGCTCATGGCATACTGAGAAATGATTGCTGTAATTTAAATAGAAACATAATATGGCCTCTTCTACACTATACCTTTAAAGCAGTGTCATACCACTTTAAACAGGCATGGCTTCCGCCAAAGAACCCTGTGAACTGTAATTTGTAGTTTGGTTGCTGGGAGTTGTTGTTGTTGTTTAGTCATTTAGTCGTGTCCGACTCTTCGTGACCCCACGGACCAGAGCACGCCAGGCACTTGTTAGGAGACCTCTACTCCCCTCAGAGTTATAACTCCCAGAATCCTCTGGGAAGAGGGATTGATTGTTTAACCACTCTGATAATGGTGGGGACAGGGGTCTTCTAACAATTATCAATACCCTTAAACAATTCCCAGGATTCTTTGCAGGAAATCATGTGCATTAATTGTGCATTGAATGTGTTTTAAACATGACTCTGTGGACCTTCCCATGACTCTCTGTTCTGCTAATGCAGGCGCCAGTAGGGAGGTAATGAACAAAGTTTGGAGAGTCTTCAAATTTTCATCTTTGAAAGAATCCCCCAATAGTACTAATCTCCCATCATTTAGGACAGTGGTTCCCAATTAGTTAAGTACTGTGGAACCCTTGTTTTTCAGAAGCCAAGCCATGGACTCCCTACTTTTGAAAATGTTGATATCTATAATAGTTTTTGTTACGTGAATGGTGCCACAGACAGACACACCCCGGGTGGGTTCCGTGGATCCCCTGGGGTCCACGGACCATTTGGGAACCACTGATTTAGGGAATTACTAGTTTCTTTGTGACATCAGCAACCCTTCTTCTAATCCCTACTCCCACCTCAGACCTCTCTGCAGGCTTCTCAACTAAAATACCTCTTACTAACAAAGGTGTCAAATACTATTTCAATTAACAGACCTGGAAACAGCAGCAGGTGAATGAATTAATGAATGAGAACCATGGATGTGAGCAACAACCAGCACAGATGCTGTTTGGAAAGTGAGCAAGACTTGAGGAAACAGATGTATATATAAGGTTTGCGTATAGCAACAACAAAAATACT